GATTAATTGATTGATTAATTAATTAATTAATTGTCCATAACAAGTTCAGCCTCATCCCATCTCATCATTAAAAAAAAAACCACAGAATATCCCCCCTCCCTCCCCCTCTTCCCCCCCCCCCCCCCCCAACAGTACACCAGAACAAAAAGTGAAATAAAACAATATTAAATTAACAACAGAATATTCCAACGTAGAGTTTGTCAATAAACCAAGGGAGACAACGTGAAATTAAATACTCAACGGTGAACTTCGAGTACATTAAAACAAAAACATAATCGTTTATTAAAACAAGTAAGACAAATCAACTAAGCAATGGCATTGCCTTGGCTTCTTGTATTGGGAAAGATAATTTGTGTTTAGTTCAGATGAACAAGATGTAGGCCTGTAACTCAAAGATTTAAAAAAAAAGGGGGGGGGGGGGGGGGATAACACCACTTGATCGTGGTTATATAGAGCTTGTCGGGCCATTCAGCCTTTCCCATGCCACATTGAATTATGTATGGATGGCTGCCTACTGGCAAAACGTTTTTTTTTTTTACTAATCAGACGCCACTTAGATTGGCGCACACGTCGTGTGAGGACGATAATTTGCAGCTAGCTTCTGAGTCTTTCTCTATGTATTTGGTTGCCTTGTTGGTCGGCTGTTTCGTTGGTTGTTTATTTTTATATTTGTCTAACTGGGTGGTTGGCTGTTTCGCTGGTTGTTTCTCTCTGTATTTGGTTGCCTTGATGGTTGTCTATTTAGTTGGTTGTTTCTCTCTATATTTGGTTGCCTTGATGGTTGTCTATTTAATAGTTGGCTGGGAGTTTCTCTCTATATTTGGTTTATATATAATACGTAAATGGTTGTCTATTTAGTTGGCTGGGTGTTTCTCTCTATGTATAGTTACCTCAATGGCCGACGACCCCATTCATGAGTTTCGATGGGTTGTTTTTATGAGACCAGATGCCAGACTCAAGGTTAACGTTTCAATGCTCCTGCCCCCCCCCCCCCCCCCCTCTCCCGTCTTACCCCCAGACGAAATGAAACAACATATAGTCCTCGTTTATTTAAAAATATACTTTAACCAGAGTCCACCCCCTCCCTAAAGTTTTATGTGCCCCCCCCCCTCCCCTGGAGATAAATATAAAATTAGCAGATTCTGGAGTATTAAGGTAGAAGACGATCAAGATTTAGCAAGACTCGCAGTTTTTGTAACACCCCCCCCCCAAACACACACATACACTCACATTTTTGTAACACCTCCCCCCCCCCCCACACACACACACCGGCACACATTTTTGTAAAACGTGTAGGCCTACAAAGTTTCTTTCAGCACATCTGCCCAGAGAAAAATGTCTGAAAGAAACCCTGGTCGGTGGTCTATTTGAGCCCTATTTACAGTTTTATTAAAACTAAGATGAAAGCATTTTTTGAACCAATTATTTATTTTTTAATTACAATTTCAGACAATAACACGTCCATTTTTGTTTGAACACTTTCATTATTCATTAAATTAAAATTAACTATCAATTTGAAGAATAATTAAAATTATATTACATAATTTACAAATATATTTTTTTTACAAATTTGCACTTTAAAATTAGTATTTTATAACATATCAATGTCTCTGAGAAAAATTGCATAGAGTATTAAGCTATTTATTAATTTGGTAAGTTTTAGCATTGAGGTGTTGAAAAAAATGCAGACTAAAAAATAGACACCACATTTTTAACTTGCTGAGATTTACTAGCTCTATTACTGGACAACTTGTCAAAACCAACTTCTGATTGTTAGCCCACCATCTTTGTTGAGTAACCTATGTAGTATTTACTGTAGTAAGTAAAACTAAAACTGATAGACATAAAACAGTAACTACAACTAAAATGCTAAATATTTTAGCTAATTTTTTTTCTCACTGATAACATTTGAATTTAGCTTTATATCTAGATCGATCTACATATTTGAATAAAAAAGGTTACCGTTAGAAATTCAACACTAGGTTTGAAAATAACTTGGTTTGAATTCAAATCAAATGTTTGAAAACATGAATCAATACCCTTAATTTTAGCGTCCAAATTACTTAAACCAAATCAGTCATCCAATAACCTTGTTATCCCCTATTGAAACTAGCTGCAATTCTTCCTCAAAGCCAAGAAATTTGATTCTGTATGACTAATTCAGCAATTTATACCTTTTTTTCTCTTTTTAAACTGGTTCTAATTAGGATAAAGTTTTTTTTTTAAATTAATAAACATGATAATAACTTTTTGATTTCAGACTGATCTAACTTAGGGAAGATTTGCAGAAGTTTCACAAAAACTTACCAACACAGATTAAATTTATGATTAAATATACTTTTTGTTGCAAAAAAAAAAATAATATACAAAATACAACTAGTAAAACAAAGTGTGTATGTAACATACAAAGTCCAACATAAAACAGAACAGAAAAAATTATCATTTCAGTTTGATTTGGTTTGTATTGTTAAGGTTGGTCAAATCAACAAACCAACAAACACATTAGATCTTGTACTTAATTAACATAACATTAATGATGAGCAAAGTACAGTGTAGTGCCCTTTTTAAGATCAGGGGGTCAATAGGGCAGACGGTGTAGAGGTCATCATTATTTTTGGAAAATTATATGATGGTATCATACCCAACACAATTCCATGATGACTATATGTATGACATCAGGTGTGATATCAGGTAATACCAAATGTCAAGATGTGTTACATGCATGACATCAGGACCTGATGATCAGGTGTTACATGCATGACATCAGATGTTACACATATGACATCATGTATGACATCAGGTGTTACAGAAGTGTCATCAGGTAATACCTAGATACATCAGGGTACACAACTGGACACCAAGAGATCACCGGGACTGTTATTAATTAATGCCCTTGACTAGTCCACTTAGTTTAATTAAAAGAGGCTCAATTTATCCTGTCATAATAAAAAAAAAACCAACGACATCTGAAATAAAAACAGAATTTTTAAAAATAAAACTCTGAGTCCTATTGAAAATAAAAAATGTTGTAATAAATAAATTACAAAAAAAAAAAAAAAATATCAATTCCTTAAAAAGAATATTAACCAACTGGTGTTTGAGCAGTATACAGATTAAAAAGTAAAAATTTCATTTAGATGACAACCCCTCCATAAATTATGATGTAGTAGTGGCCTGTTAATTTATAATACTACAAACAGGATTGCAGTCTTCAGTTATAACATCAAATTAAAAAAAATTGTATTTACAAGTAAAATAAATTGTAATAAATAAAATATGTGATAAATTAATGATATTTGTATGTGTATAAAGAAAATATATATTTAATACACTAATTTTGGTGAATATGTTTGTTTTAAAGAACACATTAGGAAAATGTATTTTAAAAATTTAAATACTTAAGAAAATCTTGAAAATAAAAGTAGGCATTTTTATTAACATTATACATCAACATAATTTGTTTATTAGGTACCTGTAATGGAATTTGATTATAAGAGCATCTAGGTATTAATGTTTGGGATGACTGTTAATTAAAAATTTTAATCGATCATAGAAATTGAAATCATGAATTTTAAAAATAAAAAATCTGAACTTACATCCAGAAAATACTAGTGGACTTTTCTTAGAAAATAGATCTGAAATGATCTGGCTCATTTAACTCAAATTGATCTGGCTACCTGCTGCCTTTAGAGAAATGATACAATTTGCATTACAAACAACAATTCCTGAAGCATTGTTTCAGTTGTCAACAAATAAAATAGGGTCACTTAAAATAAAATAACCTTGTTTCTTAAAGCGATGTAACCAAAGTAACATTTTTAGAAAATTGGGGAAACACTTAATTGAATTTAAATTAGGAGATTAAATTTTAGACTGGCTTAATTAATAATTAATTAATTAATTAGTTAATAATATATACTAATTATATAGACCATATTTTATAAGATTTATATAAGCCTATAGACAGTCTAGATTATATTTAAAAATCAATTTAATTTTAAGATTGCATTAGGTCTTCTTATTACTTTCTAGAGTTACTATCCCTTAAATCAACATATACTCATATACTAGTCAACTCTACACGCAGTACTTTGACATTTGAATAAATTTGAAATTTTGATGTCATCTTTGGCAGGGTGAAATGATAAATAAATTTTGATTCCCCTATAGTAGATAATTCCATAATAGCTGTAACTAATATAGTGTATTGCAGGCTTCCATATCTTGCAAATAATTTATTAGGAAAATTAATTCTATCACAAGTATAAATATAGCCTACTTTGTTTTGATAAAATGGTCAATAGGGATTCTATAAAATAGCATGCAGACAATAAAATGTTAATGAGCATACTGGAAAGTTGCAGCTGATATTTCATAAGTAAATTTCAATTGAAAAAAGCAATAAAATAAATTAATAGAATGTAAATGGATGAGTGTAGTCAGTAGATCAGGTGTCATTGGTCACTTCACGCCTACAACAGTTTTGTATTATTAATTTGGTGTCACCCTGTCCCCTACTATTTTATTATTTTGACTGGATACAAAATTGTTCTGACAGTTAATTTTTTAATGTTTTCACTTTGGTGTCACCCTCTTAATGTTGACCAGACCCCCCCCCCCCCCCCCCCAAACCTCACTTTAAGACACTGCTGAATATAATTAAGACTAATTACATTTGAATTAACTATAATTTTATAGTGAGATCATACAGCTGGTATATAATCACAGAAATGTTCATGAAGAAGAACATACAATTTTGATTGTGCACTAACATTTATAAATTATAAAATTATTAGAATAAGCAGAAAAAATAGTCATACTTTATATTCAATACCATATGTAGTTTAAATTATATATAAAACAGGCAAGAAAAAAAAAACTGCTGCTTATAATTGTGCTAAGCGATACAATTTGAATATATCAATTGTTTTGGCAGACCCAGACTGATCTAACTCCAATTTTTCAAAATGTTCACAACAGGGTTTTTGGTCTTTTTGACATTTCTTTATTAAGCACTTTGTGAAATGGAAAAGTTGTGCTATATTGGTGAGAGAAAAATCTTTGAAAAGTATATCAATCTACAAAACAAAAATTGGAGCTTGGTTCTGAGATGATAATATATGGGCCTATAGTTGTTTCAGAATTTAGACATTCTGAAGACTTGTTTCTGCTATTTTGAGAACTGATACCAATCACATACATGGAACAACCACCAACAATTTTATTTTTAAAAAAAATGACTATAGTAAAAACAGTCTAAAATAAAAAGTAATATTCATAATGTGATTGTCTAAATGCAGCATTAATTAATAAACATCACACAAATACACATTTATAACAAAAAAAACAGTTTTTAAACCACAGATTTTTCACTACACAGATTTTTCACTAGTGTCATTCAACCAATCAAAAGGCACCTTATTTGATGGTAGAGTAATTCAACCAATCAGCACTCAAAACACTTTCTTTAATAAAAAATTTAAAATTCCTTTTTCACAGTGGAATAAATAAAATTATAGCGCCAAGATGCTGGCAAACACTGGAATAAAATTTAACTATTCACAATAAAATTAACTTCAGTTTGAAAATAAAAACATTTATCAATTAAAATGTGCAAAGAAAATATATATAAATAGATACAGGTATATCAACAACCATGGATGGGTGCAATGCCAGTAAGACACTATCATAAATAAATCCAATCCAACATTTTATCGCATAATGTAACAGCCAATCACGTCCTTCCATTGCTTACATGATTTGATGAAGACTTATTTGGTATAATATCCTCGGAGAGATTTTCTTTAAGTTTAATATCACTGATATCAACAGCTGATCTGTTTTTGTCAAAATGTACGGAAGAATTTGTCTCACTTGAGCACACTCTGATTTCTTCACCATTTTCTGTCATTTTTATTTCAGTACCATCGTCTTCTTGTACCTAAAAATTTATTAAAAACTTCTATGAGTACATATATACACTATTTCTATCCCCACATTCAACAGTTTAAATATTTCCATATATGGTGATATATTTGAGTGTATATTAATTTTTGAACATAGATTTAAAGTGTAGGGCTATAATAATTAAAAATGATTAAGTGTGTGATAAATGATGAAAATGTTGAAGAAGCTAGGTGAACTGACCCTGTAAAAACACAGAGCTAACAAAAATGCCAGAGCTGCTATGAAGGAGAAGACAATGGCCAACACCATGAGGTTGATGCTCATGTCGTGGTTGTCGTAGAAGAAACACGACCCTTCTCCATCGCAACGTTTCTGCCAGACTAGGCATGCCAGATCAAACATCTTGCCAAATAAAATTGGCCCTGGGATGGATCCTGAAACAAATTAGACATGAATAATTATGTATTTTGTTTAATATATTTTTATGCAATACAAACAAATAAAGTTAAAGGTTTATTACAAAACAAAGTATTTTTCTTTTTAAAGAAATTAAAACCACATACTACACTGTATTTTAAAAACATTTAATTCAGAGGCAAAATATAAATTTAGTTTAGTAAAAAAAAGAAAAAAAAAGGAGGGGCGCAGGGGAGGGTAATTGTGTAGGCTAGAATCCATTTGGGCAAGTTACCTAAACACCTGGCCACAATCCACTGTAACCCTAAACCAAATGACCTTTGATGATCTGGTACACATCTGAAATGTACGCAGTAAACATTTGGCATTTTGTCATAGACAAGTCATAGTTAAATAAAAATAATAACTTAATTGAATTAAATTATTAAATAATGAAAGAAATTGAAACTACCATACCTTAAAGTTGCAGTCAGTGAAGGCATGGAGGTTATAAAGACAAAGACAATCATGACGGCAAACAGCACCATGAAAACTGTCAGCCACTTGCACTTGTACTCGCACTTGCCGAAGTGTCCCATGTGCGTTGTACCCGCGTTTCTATCTGCGTCTGTCACATTGTAGTTTACACAGCTACAGTTGTAGTACAGCTGAAAAGTAATACTTCAGTGTTGTGGTAGCTGACAGCAGTTTTAAACATTGTAATACTTCAGTAATGTAGTAGCTGGCAGCAGTTTTAAACATTTAAAACGTTTAAAATGTTTAGAAAAAAAAAGTTTATTTACCAAAGTGCCTTTTCAAAAGTTAAAAAAAAAAATTGATGTTTAAAAAAAATTGATTTTAAGAAATTTTTTTGGGTTGAAATGTGCAAGCTAGAAAAATGAAGAGTAGGTATTCAAAGAACCTAAACTTTTACATCTGTAGCTATTTATAAGGTTCTTTACTGGTTCTTAATCTGTTCTTTACCATGAGTAACTAAAAGTTCTGTATTGAAATACTTACTTTAGAATCACCTTTTGATGTGAAATTTTGACATCCAGCGTAGCACGGGGAAAAATACATGATATTGTCCCGCCCACAAATGGGGAAATATTCTTCCTCAGCACAGCCACAGTTTGCGTTGCAGGTGTCTGTCAAGTTCTTCCCTAAAAATATTGTGTTTCTGGATGAGAGAAAATTTTAAAAATTGATTACAATCACATTAAAAACCAAAACATCAATACATACAAATAAAAAGTCTTTCAAATTGTAAAATACCAAGACAGGCAAGTGTGAAACAAATAACTTTGCAACTGATATATAATTTAATTATTAAAGAACTATAACAAAAGCAGTTGTACAAATGTTCACAGTTCTAAATATATGGGCTGTAAAAATTATTTAACAAAGTAACAGATAATCCATTAAGAAATATCTTTCCTTCATTTCACTGAGATATGAATAGTTTGTGCAAGAACGTAGAATTTATTTTATAAAATTTTCAAGTTAAAGATTTCCAAAAAAATGTAAAAAATTTACTGGATGACAATGTCACATGACAACATACTTAAAGTTGGTCTCCTTATATGGAAGAGTTACACCAGCAAAAGGGTCGGTGTCACACTCCATGAGAAGGGAGAAGGCTAGAGCACAGAGGATGAAGGACATGACGGTGCACAGTCTGAGGATCCCACGCACTTTCAGGTTGAACAGTCGGACGATGAAACCGCCAGCAAAGGTGGCGCCACCTCCTGCTGGAACTACAGCCAGACCTAAAATAAAACAAAATCTCTTTTTAGTTTTTGAGCTCGTACATTTGTAAGAAAAATAATGTATTTTTAAAGACCTTCTGTGTATTAAGATGAAGAAATACGTTATAGGTTTTGGATATCTGTTGGTGAAAACAGTTAGGGTTATATAGATATGTACTGTGCCACAGGACTGAGCTGAGGGTAAAGTACAATCAAGGAAAAACTGAACAGAAGAATATAACAGTTCCTGTACAACCACGAAAAATTGTGTTCTAATTCTTAAATGGAGATCTTTATCACATTGATAGTTCAAAGTCAAGTGATTATTGTTGTTACAATATGGTTATTGCCAATAATAGCATTTTTCATCTCCTCGTAGAGCATAGACAACATACATCATGCTTCCATGTTTTCCTGTCACTTGCTATTTTTACATTTCTTTACAATTATTTTCTTGTCTGATTTTTGCCAGTGTTTACTGTAAAAGGGCAGAGGTTATTTAAAAAGTTTCCCCAGCTTACCCACGTAGAGCGCAGCTGTCCCTGCTGACACACCGAACTGGTACTCAATGAACTTCGGCATGAAGGTGGAGAATCCAGCCACCAAGACACCTACAGGAAATCAAATTCAATCGTTAACCCTTTACTATACTACAGGCTGTCATTAATTTAAAAGATTAAATTAAACATGAGGTAAGAAAATGGCATAAAGAAAATTAATAATGTTTACATTTGCTGTGGGGTGCAATCAAATTAAATGATTTATGTGGATGGTGCAAAAAAAAATTAATAAATCTGCTGTTTGCATGTGTTATCAAATTAAATGAGTAATTAAAACGTGATAAAACTGATGGTGCAAAAAAATTGATAAATTGGCGGTTTGCGTGATATTTAATTAAATGAGTAATTAAAACATGAAAACGATGATGATGATGATGAGAAAGTGAATGAGATCCCTACCATCAGCTGCAGCTGCAATGTTGACAAACATGAATGGAATGTTGGTCAGCAGCAGCTTGATGGAGAGGAAAATGTCTCGGATGCCCTTGTCTCTCCCCGTGACATCTCCGTGTTTCATCACCTGAGCTTCCTTGCCACGCTCCAATGCATATTTTTTCGAACCTTCAATTAAAATTTCAAAGAAAAGAAGGTAAATATTACTTTAAACTAAGATTTTCTTGGAAGTATCACTAGGTTGTTGACTTTAAAAAAAACGATTAACTTGTGAAATTCAGGACCTATTATCTGTTCATGAAAATAAATTCTGTGTTGAGAAAATGAAAGAGAAAAGTACAATAAAATTTAAGACTTACCTGGCAAGGTGGAGGGGAATGCCAGCAGTGGAAGAGACAGCAAGACCCCAAACACTCCACTGATCAGGAAACCAATCCACCAAGCTCCAACCCATTTGGGATTGTTCGGATCTAAACTCAAGCTAAACAAATATTTTCAAAATTTGAATTTACAGTACGTAGCAGAATATGATCATAAGTCTATTTTTTAATTGTTTACTTATTAAGTCTGGGATATTTATTTTTCAAAGACAATTTTGTTTGAAGTAGCTTATTTGTAGACAATTACACTTGCAAATTAAAGTTAAAAAGTGTTTTTTTTATATCAACCAAACTTATCAAGGGAAGTGAACTCACTGTCATGAAGTATAATTACGTACTAACCTCTTTGGGTCTACTGTGAGTTCTGTATAAATGTTGAGGAACTCAGCCCCAACCATGTACCCAATAGCTGGTCCAATGATGGCGCCAGTGTAGAAAATCCCTGCATGAACAAAGTTTTATATTCATTGGCTTTTCTTCTATTGAAATTTATCCATTATATTTATTTAAAATTTCATATTTCTTTCTTTTTAATTTTGTAAAATTTAGAAATAATTTTTTAAAAACAAAAGTACTAGATTCTGTCTTGAACTTTAAAGATATATACACATTTTGTGATTGTATTTTTTTCTTTAAAACTTTTTTTTATAGTAACTTTAAAAAAATATTTTTATGCCTCTTAAGAAGTTTTTTGTAAAATGACCAGAAAATGAAGAATGATGACTTTCAAGTGGGATCCCTGAAGTATGGAACATTAGAAATTTCTCAAAGAAAACTTAACTCAATAAGTGCAATAATTAAATAAAAGAATACATAAATGGGAACCTGGACGTAATTAAACGGCAACTCACAAAATCAAAGGAAATAAGATTCAATTATAACTTCAAACTCTGTATTCCCATTTCATAGTTGAACATTAGGCTACTCTATTTTTTTTTTTGCATAACATTAATGAATATCAAAAGAGCAGAGATATCTTTTACCCATGTGATTCTTCAAATAATACAGCATTATATTTGTATAGTCATAAAACTTGAACATGTGACTTGGAAATAACTATTTCATTATAATGCTGTTTATCTCACAATATTGATTTGATATTTTTCATATATATGGGCTATATTTATATATGTGGAGTACAGTTATTAAGCCCATACATACGTTTAAAATGTATTTTAAGTTAGCCAACGTACCATTATAAAAAGCGGATGACCTTTGTGGAACATTCTCATCCAGGTAAGTAACGCCTAAAGTATAGAGTGCTGTTGCCCCTGCGCCATGCAGACCTTGACCCAGAAAGAAGAAGTACTTGTAGACAGACTGACCAGATGATTCAGACGACGTGCAGGGACTGGAGACGTTGACCCCAAGTTTGCATTTGTTTTCTTCTGTGCTGCCCACATTGTAAGACGGGGCTATGAAGTGGGGGAGGGCAAATACAAAGGATCCTATCCCAAGTATTAATATACTTATGCCTGTATGGGAAAAACAAAATCAATTATATTATGCCATTAAAGTTCTTTTATGAAATAATGAGTATGTGGCGTGAATGCTAGATATTGTTCAAGCTTAAGAATGTATTCTTAATATTAACTTTATTTAAATTGTGAAATGAGAAGAATTGAGTGAAATCTTCTTTTTGAACAATAAATTCTAAGTTTTATTAAGTACTAATATAATAATATTATTTTAATATAGATCTATTTTATTATTAGGCCTATACTTTTAGTATTTTTACTCACTGTTATAATTTTATATTGTTAAATACTGGTAGATAAAGACCAATAATTCAATAATTAATTACGTTACACTAAATATAGTAAATATAGATCTATATATAGGGCCTAATATATTATGATATTTATTAATTTGATTATTTTTAGATGTAATTTTGTAAAGACAATGCAGATTGTAGACATTCAAGGAAGACAACTGCTAAAAATAGTACTGGTAATGTTTACTCACCTAAATACCTGGGTTTGTGCCCGTGGCCGCCGAAGTAAGACACTGGGATGACTAGCAGTACAAAAACTATGTCGTAACAACTGGCTATCAGCCCGGACTCCGTGCTGCTGATTTCAAACCGTTTCTCTATGGTGGAGATCACAGTGTTTACAAAACCATTCACAGCCATACCCTGTAGTAGGAAATTGATTTATTTAGAACAATAGGCAATAAACAAATGTAGAAAACATACAAGCTATAAATAAAATTCTAAGGAGTGTCCTGAGACATATTCGTTTGAAAAAAAAAAAAAATTAAATTTATAATAGTTAAATATAAATGTTGACGATTTTTAAAAACAAAACAACATAATGATTACAGAGGAACATTTTATTTGTTAATGGTTTCCAATGGTGCATTTAGATAAATTATTACTATGATGATTTTTCACAAAACGATGGTTCATTCAATGATTGACCCTGAAATCCGTAATGAAACGTTTATCGATTTCCCGGCCGTCCGCTGTGTTGCAGTACTCCACTCATAGTTATTTCCCCTGATGCCATTCAACAACAAAAATTCGGCTATCAGCATCATGAGATCACATTTGTCTCCAACTTTTTTATTTTTTTCACAAAATGGCGTTGGTGAACATTATTTCATTCCAGATCGTGAATTAAGTACAAATAATAACACTAAAAACGTGTTGCAAAAATGACCATTTAATTTAAGCGCATATGGACTTTGGTGTTTAGGATTTTATCATTTAACTATAGATGTATTAGCTTATTTTCGTTATCATTTAACTATAGATGTTTTAGCTTATTTTCGTTATCATTTAACTATAGATGTTTTAGCTTAATTTCGTTATCATTTAACTATAGATGTTTTAGCTTAATTTCGTTAGTGAAATAGCTACTTGGCACTGGCGTCATTAGGTCACGTGTCAAGCTGTGCGGTAGTTCAGGCTGTCACCCCCACCCCCCCCCCCCTCCCTCCATCCCACCTCTTCCCCAATTATTTTTAATTTTCGGTATGTGTCATTCCTCTCTCTTTTTATTATTTTAACTGGATAAATCATTTTTTTTAATACTAAAGTTTATGATTTGGTGTCACCCGGTGCGGACTTTGCCTTGTAACGCTACTGGTTCTTAGAACCCATTTGATAAACTCTTGTGAAATTGTTCATCGATATTGTAGCCTTTTTTGCTGTTGTTGTTTTCTTTTTTTTTTTTTCTTTTTTTTTTGTTTGTTTAAACAAATATTTAGCCTTGATATAATCACAATGGGGCGAAAAGGCTTAGCGGTAGAGAGCTGGACTGCTAAGTCGTCTCGAGTTCAAATCCGGGTTCAAATCAGTACACCGTCCATGAGTCCACCATGCTCTGATGGGCACCTAACTCACGTTAGGGAAAGAAACAAGTGAACTCTACTTCACTTGCCCCGTAGACCGTCAGGTTTGAAAGGGAACCTTACTTACAAGAACACTGAAAGTGTACAAAGCACTGAACCACAAATACAATGTTTAGCAAAGTGCCATTAGATGTTTACTCTTAAAAAAAAACGTTGAAAATATTTTGTTTTAAAACTTGATAGGGTGGGCTGGTTGTTTTAACATTATGAGCCCAGAGTTCACATACCACCCCCCCCCCCCCCACAACTGTAAACCAAACATACTTTAGGTACAGCACGGGCACCACGTGACTCTCATTTCCGCTCACATTATACATTTTTTTTTTCTACCTGTAACAGTTTGTTTGAGTTAATGGGGTAAAGTTTAGTATGTGCGGTGGGGTGGGGTGGGGGATTCCCCTCGTGTAAGGCTGGTTACTTCAGGCAAGTGATGCCGTGTGATTTACATGGTTTACACCCGTTTACATCCATTTACAACTTGACCGCCATGTTGGGGGAAAAGTTTGTTGATGAGATACGTGGAGCTTAACCAGGAGCTTAATATATGAGCTACATTAGTGAAACCAGGAGCTTAATATCTGAGCTACATTAGTGAAAACTAGGACGCTGTATTTAACTCGTGGACTATTGTTTTGTTGGTTCAGTTTCAACTTTCTAAAGCCGCTCTGCTCGTACATTCAAGTTTAAGTTATCTGATCCTGTAACTAATATAACAGGGTGGGGTAGCGTCTGGCGTTGGGGTTAAAATAGTAATATATATGCACGGGTGGAGCACCAATGCCGACACCCAAAAGGCCGACAAAAAACAAGATAACGTGGCTATAGAAATTCAATGTGGCTGTTTTGTCTCGGGTCGTTTTTTTCGTCGCTGTGGATTCGGTTGGTATGTGGTGGGTGTTATATAAAGTAATGACTGGTGTGTACAGTGATGGCTGATGTGTAGTGTGTACAGTGATGGCTGATGTGTAGTGTGTACAGTGATGGCTGATGTGTAGTGTGTACAGTGATGGCTGATGTGTAGTGTGTACGGTGATGGCTGATGTGTAGTGTGTACAGTGATGGCTGATGTGTAGTGTGTACAGTGACGGCTGATGTGTAGTGTGTACAGTGATGGCTGATGTGTAGTGTGTACAATGAAACATCATGGTGTATACAATGATAGTCTGTGCGATGATGGCTGGTGTGTTCTGTTACAACAATAGTGTTGTGTACAAGTGAGACCTACAGTAGTCTTGTGTACAAGTGAGACCTACAGTAGTGTTGTGTACAAGTGAGACCTACAGTAATGTTGTGTACAAGTGAGACCTACAGTAGTGTTGTGTACATGAGAGACCTACAGTAGTGTTGTGTACAAGTGAGACCTACAGTAGTGTTGTGTACAAGTGAGACCTACAGTAGTGTTGTGTACAAGTGAGACCTACAGTAGTGTTGTGTACAAGTGAGACCTACAGTAGTGTTGTGTACATGAGAGACCTACAGTAGTGTTGTGTACAAGTGAGACCTACAGTAGTGTTGTGTACAAGTGAGACCTACAGTAGTGTTGTGTACAAGTGAGACCTACAGTAGTGTTGTGTACAAGTGAGACCTACAGTAGTGTTGTGTACAAGTGAGACCTACAGTAGTGTTGTGTACAAGTGAGACCTACAGTAGTGTTGTGTACAAGTGAGACCAACAGTAGTGTTGTGTACAAGAGAGACCTACAGTAGTGTTGTGTACAAGAGAGACCTACAGTAATGTTGTGTACAAGTGAGACCAACAGTAGTGTTGTGTACAAGAGAGACCTACAGTAGTGTTGTGTACAAGAGAGACCTACAGTAATGTTGTGTACAAGACCGAACATTTTTGTAAGTAGAGCAGTCCTAAGTACATTGTGTACACGCGAGATTCATTGAAGTGTTGTAGCTATGGAGAAGTGAGCCATTGATAACTGGCTCTACTAGACCTCTGTACCCTGTCTCTCACAACACAACACAACATGAACAGTCTCACACTGCAGTTGTTTGTTAGTAGGCCAATATCCTACTCTAAAACACAATCTATTGTTTGTTCCATTGTTTAATTAAAAAAAAAACATGTTTCAAATGCGCTGCAAGTTGATAGCCTAGCTGTTGTTGTCGTCACGTGACTTGATGGATGTGACCGTTGATTGACAGGGCGGCTGAAAACTTTAGACATTGGGGTCAAGGTCAGTGATCCTCAAACAATCTACCCCGGGTCAATGAGCGTTAACCCCAAGTCCTACTCGATATGAGACCTATTTATACACCTTTTCAAAAACCTCTAAATATGTTATCATTATAGCTAACTGGTTGGTCTCACTAAAGGCTGATGCAAAGGTTGTTTTTTTTTTGTTACGACATATGCAGTACACACCTGACATATGGTTACATCAGATCTAGGCTCAGGACACAACACACACAGACGTAGACAAATAGACACATGACACACACAAACACGACACATACACAGACACACAGATGACACATAGACGCATACACATACACACATGACACATACACAGACACACATACACAAAACTGACATACAGATACACACATGACACAAAGCACACTGACATTCTCCTAAAGATTTCTTCTCTGTGTCGCGTAGCTCAGTTTTGACCGTCAGGTTGACGTACGGTAATCAGATACATGAGCGGGGAAACTTTTACGACTTTCAAACGGCAAAATGGTCGTCTGGTGAAACTCAGCACCACACTGGTCATCTGAGCCTCATCATGTGACACAGCAGACGGCAGAAAAACTCCTCTACATATTTGCTATCACCCCAAGAAACGTGGATCTATGTTTTTGTCAGGTGATTGCGTCGGCCTACAAATATTCAAAGCTTTCTACCTGTTGGGTACGACGGTAAAGATGGTGAGTTTGTTCTGGTGAATGTAAGCTTTAACAAACCGATTGAGTAGCTGGTACAACATACTACCCCAAATGGTGAGACATTCTGTAGCAGGTACTACAGACAGTGGTCAAAAATTTATTTCTATAGTTTGTTATACGACAGTCAAATACAGGCCATATCAAAGACACATCTTCATCAGTTTTTTAATTTGAAAATCCCGGTAATTTTCTGTTTTTGAAGTAATAATCTGACTTTTCGTGGGCATTCGGTAATAATCCATTTAATTTTTTTACGTCTTGCGCTAGACGACAAAATGTTTGTTTTTTCTGCTTTTGTTTCCTTTATCGCACGCCCCAGGGCCAGACCAACTTTCTGGAAATTCCAAGACTGCTTTCTCTTGACCTTTTGTTCCATCAAGTATCCGTTTCTCTCCCCGTTGACGTGACGTTCTTGCAGTCAGGAGAAAGTGGCTCCTGCAGTTAGGAGAGAGTGGCACCTGCACTTAATCCAGGTGTATCAGCTTTCTTGTCCACATTTACCCTGCTAATAGCCAGATATCAATGTGGTATTGTAAAGCACCTCTTGATAGTTTATAAAAATAAACATACGAGTGTCCCGACATACGAGATTGTTTAAACACACACAGTCGAGCGAGAGATTCTATGCTTTGATTTACGAGAAGTTTAGAAAAACGAGGACACATATCCGCGGGTTTCACTGTTGATGGAAAGAAACTTCTGGAAATATTTGCAACTGATCGTGTATTGCTGCTATTTAGTGACATTTTTGAAAGGGAGGAAAAAACATACCTATGTGGACGGGATTTGTTATAAACGGCACGTGAAATAGAGTAAAGTTGGTTGACGCCAAGAAAAAAAAATTGCAAGATAAATAGAATAAATGTTTTTACTAGTTCTATGAATGGTTAATTAGAGTTAAAAAGTATTTTAAGTACACAATGACGATCCCAACAAGGGAGATATGACGTAAAGATGCAAACTATAGAGAAAACAATACTACACCAAGCTGTATTAACAACCGACTATAGATAAACATCGATAGTTTTAAATGTGAACACTTTAAAGGTTTTACCGAAGTAGGGGGGGGGGGGTGACAACTGCAAAATTGACAGAAAGGGGGTGGAGTGACTCCATGAGGTGCTACACCGGGTTACACGGCTACACCAGCTCTAGCGACGCCACTGGGTGGAACGACGGATATTTTCAACGGAAAATATTGCTGAGAGGGAAAACAATTTGACATGCGAGCAGTGTAACGGAACAAATTACATATATATATATATATATATATATATATATATATATATATATATATATATATATATATATATATATATATATATATATCCACCTGTATATAATATGTCTATACTACTCTATACCATGGGTGGTCTAAGTAGTTCTGTTATAAATCTGGCCATTGAAACTTGTTTGCTGACGTAGATATGTACCAGGTAGTTTTGAAGTTGTTTATTGGATAATTTTCTCTGAGGCCAGCCCGAGGGTGGCGCTGTTAGGGTTGTTAAAATGGCGCGTGAAACTAGAGCAAGTTTATGCTGATGTTTGTGATGGCAGATAACTGAGATATGTGTGATGTGTGAACTCACTTGACGGCGCTCAAATAGTTTGCTGAGATAAAATATGTCTGAGGTACAAGTCTGTCTGTTGAGAACCTTTGAGGCCAGGTATTTCTGTAGCAGTTGTAAAACCGAAAGGACGTATTTACGAGCAGGGGGAGCCACGAGAGGACAAGATTGCGGGAAGTCCCGTAAAACCCGCGCCAGTAATGTCGTCTCGGAGCTTGGAATGGCCGAACTTGAGGAAATGTGAAAAGTTGGCTCGGAGCGACGGTGCGAGATAATTAAACTCAGGGTGGGGGTGTACGGCTGGGTGTTGGTGGGGGTGGGGGATGATTGGAGGGGGGTGATGTGAGGGGTGTAAGGGAGGAAGTAGGATTGACTGGAGGAAATTGAAAGAAACTGGCACGGACAAGGGAAACACACTTAAGGGATTGTGTACAGGATGGGTCGTTTTGGGGGTGGGCTTTTGTGTTGGTTTTGGTGGGCTTTTGTGTTGGTTTTGGTGGGCTTTTGGGTTGGTTTTGGTAGGCTTTTGGGTTGGTTTTGGTAGGCTTTTGGGTTGGTTTTGGTAGGCTTTTGGGTTGGTTTTGGGTTAGTTTTGGGTGGGCTTCTGTGTGGGTTTTGGGTGGGGTTTTGGTAGGCTTTTTGGTGGGTTTTGGGGTTGGGCTTTTGGGAGGTTTTTGGGTGGGTTTTTGGTGGGTTTTTGGGTGGGTTTTGGTTTGGTTCGAGCTGAGTTTTTTTGGGGTCAATTTAGGTGGGCTTTTGGGTCAATATGAGGTGGGCTTTTGTGTTGATTTGAGGTGGGCTTAGAAAGGCTTCAGAAGCAATATAATAACACGAGCGGCATGCCGTAAGATAATCTGAGGCAAGTACCATTATATTGGATATGATCAAATGGTTTAACAGTTTAGTGAGCTTTTTGATTTAATTCAGGAATAAGAAGGCACACTTTTCAATTAAAGTCTAAGTTTTATTTTTTAGTTTTTGTAGTCCGTGATGATTGTAATGCACACATGTGCTTGTAACTAAACTATCATAGGTGTGTGTGTGTGTGTGTGTGTGTGTGTGTGTGTGTGGAAGGGGGGGGGGGGCTGGGACCTGGGATCGTTACAACGCGTGTTATGTGCGTTAGGGCGTATGCGCTGCGTCCCCTCCAACCCCCCCCCCACAAGCAAATCATTAACTTATGACCCCCCCTTTCCCCCCATAAACAAATCATGACCACATGAACCACCCTTCCCCCCCTTCCCCCCCCCCCCCCATAAACAAATCATGAACTTATGTCAACACTGTAATGTCCGGTGCATCGATCAGCTGTCAGCTTCAACCCACTCACAGGTTTGTGTGTGGGTGTGTGTGTTTACGTATGAGATGATGTGTGAGTTGATGTGTGAGTTGATGTGAGAGTTGATGTGAGAGTTGATGTGAGAGTTGATGTGTGAGTTGATGTGTGAGTTGATGTGACGATGTGTGAGTTGATGTGTGAGTTGATGTGTGAGTTGGTGTGTGAGTTGGTGTGTGAGTTGATGTGTGAGTTGATGTGTGAGTTGATGTGTGAGTTGATGTGTGAGTTGATGTGTGAGTTGATGTGTGAGTTGATGTGTGAGTTGATGTGTGAGTTGATGTGTGAGTTGATGTGACGATGTGTGAGTTGATGTGTGAGTTGATGTGTGAGTTGATGTGTGAGTTGGTGTGTGTGTTGATGTGTGAGTTGATGTGAGAGTTGATGTGTGAGTTGGTGTGTGAGTTGATGTGTGAGTTGATGTGTGAGTTGGTGTGTGTGACGATGTGTGAGTTGATGTGTGAGTTGGTGTGTGAGTTGATGTGTGAGTTGATGTGTGAGTTGATGTGTGAGTTGATGTGTGAGTTGATGTGTGAGTTGATGTGTGAGTTGATGTGTGAGTTGATGTGTGAGTTGATGTGACGATGTGTGAGTTGATGTGTGAGTTGATGTGTGAGTTGATGTGTGAGTTGGTGTGTGTGTTGATGTGTGAGTTGATGTGTGAGTTGATGTGACGATGTGTGAGTTGATGTGTGAGTTGATGTGTGAGTTGGTGTGTGTGTTGGTGTGTGGGTTGATGTGAGTTGGGGACTATACTATACTCACATTATTTGTTAGGCCCTAACTAGGCCTAAAATACACAATAATTGTCTACCTTTTAAGCACCCCAATTATTAGACTGACGTTGGCAAATGTGTTTTAAAAAAACAGTCAAAACTACACCAATGAACTCCATTTCTTCCAAAGATTTTTTTTCTTGAATTATTTTAAACTGAACCTACACATGAGTTTGGCCATACCTTCTAACTTAGGAAGACATTATCAAAAGATCACTTACGTCAAATAATGCCAAAAAAATGTACATGTTTATGAGCCTGAACACTTTTAGTTAAACATATATCGAGGATAAACAGGTGAAATAGTTTTAATAGGGGCATCCAATTAAAAAAAAATCTTTAGTGTGTATATGCTTGAAATAAACAGTTTGTAAAAAGTTAGGAGTGCATTTGTAGGAAGCAAATGTTAAATCACCCAACCGTGAACAGTTTGAATGATTGGCTTTATCGAGGCTAGACCGAACAGTTTCTGATTCTATTGAGGTAAAGCAACCATTGGAGCGAGGCATGAACACATCACGTCTTTATTACACAACAAACTTTGGTCTGTTTGCTTAGACTCTAAGACTTAGAGTAATGGCTATCACACATAGGTAATCTGTTGTCTGATGTTTAGAATAAGGTCCTGTATGGCATGACGTAGTAGTTCATGAGGGGCTGAGGAGGAGGATGTGGAGGCCGGAGTGAAAAAAGCCTCGAGCTAGCGATTGGGAGGGTTTTATGAAGTTTGTTGAGAAGTGATTACGACATGTAATTGAATGGAAAGATGTATTTGAACGGCAGGGTTTAAAGTAGTTTTATAAGGAGTGATTGCGACACGTAATTCAATGGAAAGATGTATTTGAACGGGAGGGTTTAAAGTAGTTTGTTGAGAAGCTATTACGACATGTAATTGAATGGAGAGATGTATTTGAACAAGCTGTACGACTTAGAGATTAGAGGACCTAATTTACTGTAGTAACTAGCACACAGATTTCTGCTAATAGTTTTAAATAATTGTTATTGATTTTGATATCTAAAAATAGATTACATGCATAAAACGTTTACCTTTAACTAAATCATACACTTGTTAACTAACATTTATATATTTCAAAGGACAAGATTTTTTAGTTGATTTAAACACGACTTCCGTGAAATACCAAAATAATGTACATAGAATATTATTAAAAGATAAATATTTGTAGACATCAGGTTGTGATTTTGAAATGAAATACAGGTTAACACGACTGATGTATAACGTCTAAGACTTGTAGATTTAAAATCGGTGTCTCAAGTGTCACAGAATGAGAAGCATCAAAGGTTTATGACTTATAACATGACTTGTAACATGACTTATAACATGACTTGTAACATGACTTATAACATGACTTATAACATGACCTATGACATGACCTATGACATGACCTATGACATGACTGATGACATGACTGATGACATGACTGATGACATGACTGATGACATGACTGATGACATGACTGATGACATGACTGATGACATGACAGATGACATGACTGATGACATGACTGATGACATGACTGATGACATGACTTATTACTCACCTGACATGCCCCACATAAAGTGAGTACCACCAGAAACCAGCGAGGGTCCCGAAACTTCTGACAGAATCCAATCCTAAACCTCCCCCAACCACAGGGGCCTCCGTCGTCCCCCTGGGTGTCACTGCTCTCTGCCTTACCCCCGGGCAAGGTTCCATTTGAATACTCAGAGATTCCTCCAGATTCTAGCCTCTCTTTAAATTCCATGAAGTCTTTGGTTGGTCCGTTTTTGTTAGAATCCAAGTAACGATCACTTCCATTTAATTCCTTGTCATTCTTCATTTTGAATTTTTCTAACACAACTGGCTGCTCCATTTGGGAATGGGTCAAATTTGAATCGTGAATGTTGTCAACGCCGTTCAGAAATAGAGATCTGGTGTCATTAGGTTTTGAGAATGGCGGGGATGTTTCCGGAATGTTTTCATGGCTGTATTTCAAGTTGTGATTCGATCGATGGTTTCTTTCACGTGAGTGTGAGGTCAGATTTAGGTCTTCTGGGTGTGAGGTCAGATTTAGGTCTTCATTGTGTGAGGTCAGCTCTAGGTCTTCTGATTGAGCAAATTGAGCGGGGTGGCAAACCTTGACCGTAGGGTCTTCTCTTGAAGCGGGTGAGCGATCAGAAAAAAAATAGTCCTCAGGGTTGTCTAGTCTCGGCAGTTTAAAATCCCGACCCAGCGAGTTGTGGATGATCTTACTGATGCCGTCTTTGAGCTTTCTAGAAGCCAGGTCTACGTCGTACCTGTCGCCATACCTCGGGCTGGGTTCTGTGGAGAGATGGAGGCTAGAGTCAGGGCTGGAACCATCACAAGTGTGAGCCATTGAAAAATTTTTAGGTAGTGACACTACAACAGCACTACAACAACACTACAACACAACGGTTTCAAGTCATTAGCACAGTCATCAAGCACCAGTCATCAGTCTGTTGTTTCACTTCTGGGTTCACCCCCCCCCACCCACACACAAACACACACACACACACACACACACACAACACACACACGACCACACACACAATGCCAGGCGGATAGGCTAATTACCACAGCTGTTAAGTTGAAATCATCAACATCAATTGCTCAAATGGTACCATATCCGTTCTAGACATCCACCCAATGATAATCAACACGGAAGGAAATTAAAATAATTAGTGCCAATTCAAAAATCGAACTTAGCCAGGTTTTAACCAAACGTTGAGCTAATTTTTTTGTCACAATTTTTGTACATATAATTTACTTAAATCCAAATATGCGTTATAAAGAAACGAATGTGTTGGCAAAAATCTGCGGAGTGTTTGTTTGAATGCGACACACATAAATAGTTTTATAACACAGAGGCATACAACACATCTTGATACATACATATAGTTCTATAACACTGAGGCAAACGACACTTAATACACACCAGATACACATCTGTTACACGTTGTTTACTAAGTGACCCTGACATTGACGTCGAGTGAAATTCAAAACATTTTAAAATAATCACTGAACGATAAATCAGAGTATCGACCACAAAATGGGGGAGGGGGAGTTGACAAAGCCCGACAGATGAGTAGGTATTCGTCAGAATTTTCTAGATCATTCCAGTAGAAAAACCCGTGGTTCAAGTTGGTTTTAAAAGTCTAAAAAAAAAAATTTCAACGTCCAAAATAATTTTATTTAAATCTTTAAAACGTCTGATTGGGCAGTCTATAAAATTAACATATCAATTTTAAAATTGAATGTCCGAAAAGACTATAATTAAAACATTATAGAAACCAATTAACGTCTAAAAAACAACGTTGTAGCTTGTCTAAAAAAATCAATTCTTTCAGCTGTCTAAAAATCAATATGCAAAACATCTAAAAAAAATCGATATTTTAAAAGTCCAAGTTTTGAATTAAATATTAACGACACTAAACGCAACACATACATCAAATTGTACAGCAAGGTGCAGGTAAGTCACAGAGAACACCGTGACAACTTATGTCAAGGCTCCTGAATTTAAACCACAGGGTGTTGAAAATCAGTGGCTTAGGCCTCCGCGTCTTCCCGTGTGTTCGCACAAATGTGATTCGCACAAAAAATTGTCGGAAATGAATAAAGGCCTGCAGCGTCACGGAATTTGTGTGGCGAAAGGTGCAGTTAAAACTAGCACGGTGACGACACGAAACAATGCAGGACTCCCACGATGGCCCGAGGCCGATGGCCAACTTTTAAAAAATGACATTTTTTTTATCCAGCATAAGCCGTCTGCTTGATGTGCAGATGCGCTGAGGTCGCAGAGTGCATCAATTTCCTTCAAACATTAGGCAGGTCAACCCTTTGAAGGCTGAGTCAATGTTTAATGAATCTATACGATATAACGGACCTGGATAAACTTTCGCTTGTCTCAATGAACCTCGGGACCGACAACTCCAAGTAAGGGTTAATAAAGATCAGTGCCCTCCCCTTTACCTAGATCAGTGCTCTCCCTTTACCTAGATCAGGGGCGATAATTCCTGATTATTTCTGATCATGAGTTAACTTTGTGAGGTGACGGAAGAGTTTCCTGTTCATGTTCTTATCGATACCGCTAATTAAACGATAGCGCCACTGAACGATACCGCTAATGAAACGGACGCGGGATAAAAAAGGTTCACCCAATTAAAACGATAAGGGAACAATTCACTTTTAAGCAGCGTTTGTGGGGGTTATGCTTAAGAAGGGGGATGGAGAAGGGGGAGATAATTAAATTTAAAACACGGAGTAAACTGATAGATAAACTTAATTCACATTTTCTTTGATGTTAGCTCACCAAGACGTGGGTCTTTTAAACTGTGTGACTCTATGGGGAGGGGGAGGGGGGAGGGGGGGGGTGGTGTTACACGGTAAGGTAACATAGGTCTAGTTGGCGACGGGGTCAAGGTCGTATGCTCTGAAGTAAGACAATGTTGGTATAAGTCTGGAACTATTCAACGGTCGTATGGCACCATCAGATATACATAGTATTATGTTAACGCAAGATTTTAATTCGCATACAGATTGTGGCGCAAAAGTATTTCGTGACCTCTAAACTCTAACAAAACACAAATCTAACTTTATCATGAAATAATTCTTGTCGAATAAAAATGTTTTTCAAGTATGACTCTTTCTCTCATCACAAGTTAAATTCTTTAATAATTAGATATTTAACCATTCGGCATGCAATTTGACATTAGAGCAACTCACGTGACGCCTATAAATAAAACACATCCGGTTTAAGAAAGAATCCTCTAACACCTGAGGTAACCACACAAATTCTGCCCAGAACTGGGACAACAGAACCCAAGATGGCGGGTCTCTAGTTGACCGGGGACGGTCGTGTGTCGACAAAATCTGGTGTGTAGGCCATTTCTGCGTCATTTTAATTAGCGCTGTCTACCTGGTGGGCGGGGCAATTAATCTCTTCACAGGAGCGGATTAACCCAAATCTGCAGCAGGTTACGGTTAGGGATTATACTCTCTCTTGTTTACATTGGCTTGTGACGTCAGTGGAGTCACAACAACATAACGGACTGGTGAGAAACGTGGAGTCACAATAAAATAAATAACCGACCAATGGGAAAAGTGGAGTCACAATAAGCTTTGTTTACGTATTTAATAAAACGCATGTGAAAAAACTTAAGAAACGTCCACGACATAGAATATAAGACACAACTTTTACCTTAAGAAGACACGTCCACAACACAGAATGTAATACACTTTTACCTTAAGAAGACACATCCACGACACAGAATGTAATACACTTTTACCTTAAGGAGACACGTCCACAACACAGAATGTAATACACTTTTACCTTAAGAAGACACATCCACGACACAGAATGTAATACACTTTTACCTTAAGGAGACACGTCCACAACACAGAATGTAATACACTTTTACCTTAAGAAGACACGTCCACGACACAGAATGTAATACACTTTTACCTTAAGAAGACACGTCCACGACACAGAATGTAATACACTTTTACCTTAAGAAGACACGTCCACGACACAGAATGTAATACACTTTTACCTTAAGAAGACACGTCCACGACACAGAATGTAATACACTTTTACCTTAAGAAGACACGTCCACGACACAGAATGTAATACACTTTTACCTTAAGAAGACACGTCCACGACACAGAATGTAATACACTTTTACCTTAAGAAGACACGTCCACGACACAGAATGTAATACACTTTTACCTTAAGAATTAGCACCAGAAATCACAAGTCCATCCTGATGTATGTGTACAACTTCCACCAACAGACGAGAGAGATCAGACAGCCTTACAAGCCGTGAGAGCCGGTACTTCCAGCTCCCAGCATGTTTAATCTCCCCCGCTCTGACAGCTGTGGGCCTGACGGCCATACGGGAGCCACGTGACAGTGTTTAGATCCCCCCACACGGAGACAAGTGAGAGGTTTAAGTATCTCAGTCCCATCGTGATTGTAAACATGAAATGTGTAAACATAGGTACGGGAATTCCCGATGACAGGGTTTGTTTACTTTCATTAGGAAGTTAATTGTGGTGCGGTGTGTAATTCAATACACGAGCTAGATCTAGCACTGTCATTACAGAGTACACATTCATGTTAGGGGCTTTGTGGAGTTTAGGGAGTTGTACACACACTTGTAGGGCTAAGTATAATAAAAGTAATTCTACTTTCATATTTCTTGATTTGGGAAAAAATTTGAGAAATGTTTTCATACTTTTATAAGGAAAATTAGTATTATGAACATTTTATATACATTACTAAACCAAACTTGGATAAGGAAATATTTCAGGACATAGCAGGGTAAAGAAAAAATACTTTGGAAAAATTCATGATATTCTACACAGAAATGGTTCTAGTAAACTTTAGGACGAATTCGTAGATGTAAAAAAAAATAATAATTAAGACACTTTACCAATCCTGCACGTATTAATTAAATAGATATATTAAATATGTATACCAATTAGTTTTTTTTTTTTTTAATTTTTTTCAGAAATTTACTTTATTGAAATCAATTTACTATTTTAAAAACATTATTTTTTAAGAATACTATTTAAATAATAACAAAACAATTTTTAAAAAAAGTGGTGATGAAAGTTGGTTGTGATGGGGGGGGGGGGGGGTAGAAGAAGGACCGGCTACTCCCCTCGCTAGTAAAGACACGTCAATAACTTAAAACAGTCCAGAAATTGTTCACTCTAGAGCTGCGTTTTGTAAGACGTCAACAGATTAACAACCGGTTTAATCCGGAATAGATCAACTAGATTAAGTAGATAAATTAACTAAATAAACAACATATTATCTGGATGGGTTCACTGAGAAAAACAACTAAGGATTAGCGAGGTGGATCAACGGAATGAATTGACTGAAACAACAACAAAGGATTAACGAGGTGGATTAACGGAATGAATTGACTGAAAGAACAACAAAAGATTAGCGAGGTGGATTAACGGAATCACCACAAAAAGACGAGCGAGCTGAATAAATTGTTGCACGACAAACCAGACAATAACAAGAGGTATCTGTGACGTGTTTTGTAAACAAACCAGACAATAACAACAGGTATCTGTGACGTGATTTGTAAACAAACAGTATGGGTAGGTGTGTAAGGATCGTACACACGTAAACAGGTATTCTTAGATTCGATACAACAGTAGCACGATACAGGTGTACACGGTACATGTGTACATGATACACCTGTACACGATACAGGTATACACGATACAGGTGTACATGATACACCTGTACACGATACAGGTGTACATGATACACCTGTACACGATACAGGTATACACGATACAGGTGTACATGATACACCTGTACACGATACAGGTGTACATGATACACCTGTACACGATACAGGTGTACATGATACACCTGTACACGATACAGGTGTACATGATACACCTGTACACGATACAGGTGTACATGATACACCTGTACACGATACAGGTGTACATGATACACCTGTACACGATACAGGTGTACATGATACACCTGTACACGATACATGTGTACATGATACACCTGTTCACGATATATGTGTACATGATAGCGGTACTCTCAACAATTTGGATAACTTAAAACAAACAGCGATGGGAAGAATTGTAAGATAATGACGTCATTCGCATGTTGACTCGTAGTATGGGCTTGATATGTTGTTTTGTAATGTGTATATTGGACCAGAATTACATACATACATAAAAATGTAAACACATATGTACACAAACATGTAAATAAATATGTAAAAACATATGTAAACAAATACGTAAGCAAGGATTTATTTACGTCATCTGTGAGACTAGAGTTTTTATATTGTTGAAATAAGCCCCCACCCCCCCCCCCCCCCTTCTCCACACACACACACAAACACTCACCCAGTCCGCTGAAATCATCATCAAAAAACTTTGTTGGAATAAAATATGTTTAATTAAAATGTGTCTGAATAAAATATGAGTTTTGACCTTTAAACTAAAATAATTTATTTTCACCTGTTGTTGATAATTATAAATCTAAATTGTGTATACAATCAGCCAGGACAGGTACTTCACCAATAAACGTGAGTACTGTACAGCCACACTCACTGCACGTGTGTTAAACAACTCAACACACTTGACTTTTGGTGCACACGACAATTTAGCCACACGACAATTTAGCCACACGAGAATTTAGCCACACGAGAATTTAGCCACACGACAGTTTAACCTGACGTGAAATAAACAACAATCATAGCCCCACGGTTTTGAATGCTGGTTACATACTAGCACTTGACCCGGTAGTTGCTGGTGCAACAAAAACTCGAACATTTGTGTTACCACTTGATTTTTTTTGTGTCCGTCTGCCAATTCTTTCTCTCTCTCTCTCTCTCTCTCTCTCTCTCTCTCTCTCTCTCTCGCTCTCTCTCTCCTCCACTCTCTCTCTCCTCCACTCTCTCTCTCCTCCACTCTCTCTCTCCTCCACTCTCTCTCTCCTCCACTCTCTCTCTCCTCCACTCTCTCTCTCCTCCTCCACTCTCTACCTACCATCTACCTCACCCTTAATCTGCCCCATCCTCTACCTCTCTACATGTCTCTACTCATACACGAACGTTCAAATATTGAAACGTACCCTAATCACAGAGGACTAAACCCCGACCCTTTCCAGTTTTACCCCACCCCCGGGCCTGTGGTGAAAATTTTTAAACACTGCTCTAGTGCCTAGTGCCTCAATCATGATTTCAACACTGGCTTCAAGTGCACCAGTATATTAACATCAAATGAGGGCCTGTTTGAAATTACTAATCAAAACTAATTGGATGTGTTATGCCCTGGACCTGTCACAACACATAAAGTCATCGTGACCTCACGGGGAAGAATGGGGACATTTGAAATAGCTTTTTACCTGTCTATCAATGGATTAGCTTGTCTGACATTTCAATCTACAGGTAGTAGTTGAGATATGGTGTGTATATATTACAGGTGGGTAATTGGGATATGGTGTGTATATTATACAGGTGGGTAATTGGGGTATGGTGTGTATATTATACAGGTGGGTAATTGGGATATGGTGTGTATATTATACAGGTGGGTAATTGGGATATGGTGTGTACATTATACAGGTGGGTAATTGGGATATGGTGTGTATATTATACAGGTGGGTAATTGGGATATGGTGTGTATATTATACAGGTGGGTAATTGGGATATGGTGTGTACATTATACAGGTGGGTAATTGGGATATGGTGTGTACATTATACAGGTGGGTAATTGGGATATGGTGTGTATATTATACAGGTCGGTAATTGGGATATGGTGTGTATATTATACAGGTGGGTAATTGGGATATGGTGTGTATATTATACAGGTGGGTAATTGGGATATGGTGTGTATATTATACAGGTGGGTAATTGGGATATGGTGTGTACATTATACAGGTGGGTAATTGGGATATGGTGTGTATATTATACAGGTAATACTGGGATATTGTGTGTACATTCAATTTTGCATTTTACAGAGTGTAATGACAGTTATGTAAGCGTGCATGACGTCATGACGTAAAGTGTAAGCATCCGTTAACTAGAGAGTCACGTGCTATCTCATGACGCCTGACGCCGTGTTTTAATTGAAGTCAGAACAAACAGCAGTTGATTGGTCGAACTATGTTGCTCACTTGAGTCATGTCCTGACAAGGTGATGTGTCACCTCACCCCCCATCTCCACCCCCCACACACACACACACACACACACACATAGACACACATACAGAGACAGACATAAACACAGAGCTGTGTGTTCTTACATGTCAGCTAACCCCCACCCCCGCAAACACACAATACTCACACACACAATACACACACAGACACACACAATACACACACACACACACACATACACGGCTGTGTGCTCCCTACACATATAACCAAACGGCCAACAGTGCCGGAGCCTTGACTCCAAGAATCTAGTGAATGACTAAACACGTGCGACCATCATTGAGGTCAGCTGATTCATACTGTTCAAAGTGTTATACATTTTCTGTATATACGATATTCACTCATACGTTGTATATACACTGTATATCAATACTATATATATAAGTATACTTTTAAAGTATACTATATATAAACGTATACTTTTATAAATATCTAATATGTATGTATGCATGCATATAAATATATAGTTATATATATATATATATATATATATATATATATATATATATATATATATATATATATATATATATATTTGAAATACTTACAAAGTT